TACCGCCGCAAATACATAAGAACAGTTACATCTATCTTGCACATTTCACATCATCTTCAATGTGATATTTAAATATATTCAAACGTGCAACAAAGTATCGCGCAAAGAAAGTCGAAAATATTATAAAATGAAAATCTCTAAAAGGAAAATAAATTGTTTTTAACGAATATATTTATATAATACAAAAGAATTTGATAAAAAATATTCTTTTGTACATTCTACTTTGCACATCCGAACTTTGTAATTTTGTAAATGGCAATTTCAATTTAATTTCTTCTTTGCAATAATAATGATCCTAATAAATTATGAATTCTCTTCCACAATTACTCTCTTTTTAATTAAAATAATTTATTTCCCTAGAAAAAAAAAATCACGATTTTTTTCTCGTTTTAAACGCATACATTCTTTACGATGTGCTCCTCTCTTACTCTTAATTTTTTATTTTACGATCACAAAGGGGGACATAAAGAGGCTCGAGCTTGTAAATCTTCCAACGAGCGAACAATTTCGTAAACGCGCGCGGTTCATCCTCCTCGCGTTTCATCGCTTTTAATCCATTCTGGAGCATACGGGCTCAAGATCCTAGTCTAGTGCGTGGTGAATCGATTCTTTACGAGACAGATTCGCCACCAAACACGAGCTCTCCGTGTGTATACACGGAGGTTGCATGGATATCAGGAACATATGTGCCGACGACCCTAAGGATATGGCGTATCGACTTCATAGGATACACATCGTGCGGACCACCTGCCCCGCACAAACGTTTCCTTCCACTATACTGCGTTATGCGGATATATTTTCACATATTTGTTTCCACTTTTAACAACCCAGTCAATCGATATACTTCAACAAAATTTTTGCGTGGATTAATTACATCATTCGATAAATAGAAATCAATAAATAATATTTTATCAGCAGAAAAGACCTTTTTGTATTTCCACGTATTATAGTTAATAAAACATAACTATTTTCGTTTATTAGATAATCAAATAAATTTCTGAAGCATTAATGAATGCTTTTTTTTAATATGTACATTTTATGATAAATTTTCCTCTACTCGGAAACGCATTTAATTATGTAATTGATAGGCATGTAGACAGGATCGGACAGGATTAGACGCGTTTTTTTGTACAGAAGAAAATTTATTATGCACGTACATACAAAAAAATTCATTGATGTTTTAGTAAATTTATTTTATTATTTAATAGGAGAAAGTTATTATATTATACTAATTTATACAAAAAAAACTATCTTTTTAGATTTTTTTTATATTTATCTTTTAGAGATTTTTCAGAGAAAACATTGAAATACAGTCGAGAAGCTGAAAAATGATATCAAGGGGAACAGGATGTATTTTTCAGCATCGCGCCTGTCGAACAAAAGTCACCCTCCGTAACGTTTTTACCTCGTTGAATTACTTCACAATGGATACAGCACGACCCCTTTCGAGCCCAATTCTTTTCCCCTTGCGAGCGGGCTGTCCCTTTCTCTCTTTCTCTTTCTGTACACAAAGCATAATTATTCGAAATCCCAAACAGCATGAAAATTTTATCAGTGCTTTAATAGACGTAGTCCATTAGATCATCGGCCGATGATTAATCCTTACATGGCAAAGAGTAGGAAAACGGGTATTAAAAAAAATCTAGAAAAATAATTTCTCCCTCGGCGAGATTTCATCGAACATGACAATTTAATTGCAAACTAATTGTCTAATTATATCTATTATAGTCTTTTATAAATAAATTCCAGACACATCTTAAAAATTGTATGACTTAAATCTAAAAATCTTCATATAATTACAATACGTAAAAGTAACAAAAAGTTAAGAATTATAATATGAAAATTCGGTTGATTATACATTTTTCAAGCACGTCAACATTTGAAGATAGAATTGTGGGGAGAGAGAGAGAGAGAGAGAGAAGAGAGAGAGAGAGAGAGAGAGAAGAGAGAGAGAGAGAGAGAGAGTCGGTCTC